TGGGTTGGAGGTGATTCTAATTCATATGTCCTTTGTTATGAATGACACACAGCAACTTTTCATGTATGCCCATTTGCTTATTTTTGGAGATGGCCCTTGCTAGGATCATGCTTCTCATCTTCTGGATCTCTACAGAACCCTGCCTCTGGACCCCCACATACTCCTTCATCAGTCAGCTGTCTCTCATGGATCTCCTGTACATCTCTGTGACTGTGCCCAAGATGCTGGTGGGCCAGGTCATGGGAGACCATACAATCTCCCCTGAAGGCTGTGGGATCCAGATGTTCTTCTACCTGACCCTGGCAGGGGCTGAGATTTTCCTTCTGTCAGTCATGGCCTATGACCAGTATGCTGCCATCTGCAGACCTCTCATTACCCACTGCTGATGACCCAGAGGGTCTGCTGGCTGCTGGTGTCCGGCTGATGGCTCCTGGGAGCACTTGACGGCTTGCTGCTCACACCCATCACCATGAGCTACCCCTTCTGCAATCCAGGAAGATCCTGAGCTTCTTCTGCCAGGCCCCTGCCCTGCTGAGGCTCTCCTGTTTGGACATCTCCCTCTACAAGATGATCATGTACCTGTGCTGCATCCTCATTCTCCTTGTGCCCACCGTGGTCATCTCCAGCTCCTACATCCTCATCCTGCTCCTCATCCACAGGTCCAGCTCAGCTGAGGGCTGCAGGAAGGCGCTGGCCACCTGCTCTTCCCACATGATAGAGGTGCTACTCTTCTTTGGTGCTGCCATCTGTACTTACATGCTCCCCGGCTCCTACCACACAGTACAGCAGGATGTGATGGTGTCCGCCTTCTACACCATCCTCACCCCTGAGTTGAACCCCCTCATCCACAGCCTGTGCAACAGAGATGTCACTGTGGCTCTGAGAATCCTGCTACAGTCAAGGAGGCTCTTCCTGAGGGTCCTGAGAGGGAGCACCTGGGAGTGAGCCTGCTTCTTCCCCTCCCTCCTCCTCCCCCATCTCTCCTTGGAGGGCCCAGCATGGAGCCCACACATTTTCACTTCATTCTCCTGGGTGTGGCATTTCTCCTCCACACTGCTTACTCATTCCAGTTCTTTATATTTAATCATTAAGTCTTTTTAATTGTGTTGCAATATCTGCTGTAAGAAAAGCCATATAAAATGGTTTTACATTATTTCATTAATTTTAGCATAGTCTTGGGATACTTGTGCCTCTCCATGAAGACTTCAGATTCCAGCAGACCCCTCGAGTGAATGTGGCTTTTCTCATTTGAAGTACCCCTAAGCTGTTGGTCACTGTGGCAACCCACCATGTTCTAAGGTTTGCTCTCATATCTCAGTAAGTGCAAATTAGACACTTTTCTAGATACTAAAAGCTAGATCATTTCCTGAATGTTTTTAGTACTGTTTGGCTATAAAAACTACTTCTAACACATGACATTCCAGAGAGTTCATGGAGCCATCTGCTTTGATGAAAGTGCTTTTTTATGTGAGTTCCTTAGATTTCAGTCTACTCTAGATGATGCTCTACCACACTTAGACCAAATATGCTACCTTTGGAAGAAGGTGAGATGTTATAGAATCTTAATCTCTTTAGCCTTTTACTTATAGAACTGAGAAAACCACAAATAAGTTTTAGGCTTGTCACTACCCTTTACTTCTTCCAGCATAAATCATGCTGTGAAGAGAATATTGTAAATCCACCAGAACYAGRAGATCATTATTATTTTATGTAGTTTTTCCAGAATCAAGATATAAGGAGATGATTGCTGTTTCTTAATTAAGCATTTCCTCTGATTAACATGCAAGGATGTGATTTGGGACCCTCTGCTGTTCAGGTGCCACCAGCAACAGGAGCCCTGACCTGCTGTGTTATGGTGGCAGCT